TGGGCAAACAGAAAGGGTTAACCAATGTTTGGAACAATATCTTCGATGTTATGGTTCATACCTCCAAGATGACTGGACCACATGGTTACCTATGGCCGAATTTTCTTACAATAATACCATTCATTCTAGTACGAAAATGACTCCTTTCTTCTCCAACTATGGTTTTCATCCGTCTTCATTTCCCATCCAAACCATTACTTCATCCAATCCTACTGTTACATCAAAAAATGAATTTATGTCTTCTCTATTTTTCAAATTACGGGAGAATCTTCAACTCGCCCAAAATAACCAGAAAAAGTTTTTTGACAATAATAGAAGAATTCCTCCTCCTTACAAGGTAGGGGATCTTGTCTGGCTCTCTTCAAGGAATATTACCACAAGCCGTCCTTCAAAGAAATTGAGCTCTCTTTTTCTTGGTCCCTTTCAAGTAATTACTATCATTAATGATAACGTTGTTAAACTAAACCTTCCTCCAAGTTTTAAACTTCATCCAGTATTCCATGTCTCCTTACTTAAACCACACATCCCTGATCCTTTTTGTAGGGAAATAGTAACAACTCCTGAACCTATCATTGTCCAAGGTGAAGAAGAATATGAAATTCACAAAATTTTGGATTCTCGTTTCCACCGTGGCTCCTTACAATACCTTATCAGATGGAAAGGTTATGGAGTTGATGAAGACACTTGGGAAGATTCATCTAATGTACATGCTAGGAGGTTAGTTACTGCCTTTCACAAACGCTATCCCTCCAAACCGAAATAGTGCACCCAGAGGATGCCCCATGGGAAGGGGGTACTGTCAGGTATAGCATGGCATGTAATTTATCGCCGGAACCCACTTCCGGGTTCACGGCGCTCAGCCCCGCCCCTTTCTCTGACGCGGTCCCTCCACGATACTTAGGAGGACCGCGCCAGATTCAAAGGGCTGAATTATTCGCACAGGTGCTGCATGAAGATCAGCTGCTCTACTTCTGATCCTACCTGCTCCACTTCTATACCTCGGCTAGTAAACGGATTTCTACCTGCTCCACTTCTATACCTCGGCTAGTAAACGGATTTCTACCTTCTCCACTCTCGACCTCGGCTTGTAACTCTGAATTCTACCTTCTCCACTCCCAGACCTCGGCTTGTTAAAACGGACTTCCCCACTCTCCACTCCTAGTTCTCAGCTTGTTGAAACGGACTTCTAATTTCTCCTTCATTGGGTGAATTAACCCTTCCAGTGCCAGAACTGCCTTTAAGTTAAGTAATACTTTTACCAAACAAGTCAATTACTATTATTTATATTACACAGTATCTAAAACTCACTAAAGTGTCACTTTGTCTAATTATTCCTCTTACTCATAAGGGATTGCTACAAAGCCTAATTTTACCTACATGGATATTTAAAGGTACAGTGACCATAGTTTCATACCAATATAAAAGGAGGTGAACCTTATTGTTGTTGCAACCAAGAAATGCTGCAGTTGAGTTCCAATTAAAGAAATATTACAAAATAAATATTACACACACCCTGCTTCCTCTCCTGCAACTATGTCATCCAACTCAACAATACAAAACACCATATGTGGACACAAACAATACATAAATCACAAATCTGAATCACTCATTTCATCATAATCTGCCCTTCTGGAATTGGAGTGCAATCCAGATGACTATTTGTAGAATGTTATATATTCTATATATATGTATATATTTATATTAGGTATGGATGTCTATTGGGATAAAAAGAACAGATAGTAATTTGCTATGCTGTACCATGAGACTTCTGGAATGTTTGTGTATAATTAGAGGATTGATGGTCTTAATATGTGTCATTATGTGAAATTGTATATGGATTTTATTTTAATCTTTTGACATCATTATAATAATCTCTGTAATAGTAGACCAAGGAACAGGTGCTGGGGTCACTACTACTCTACACGCTGTTCCCCTGACTCTCTGGACAAAGACAATTACTCTCCATCGAAGATCTCTCTCTCTATAATATTGTTAAGCTGTATTATCTGTTAGGTTGTTACATATGTATTGCTGTTTGAATTGTAAGTAGAATAAATATGTATATTTTATAAACTATCATATTTCATATTAATATTTTTGTGTGATATAGAAGTATATTACAGCCACCATTAATACAAGAACATATATTGATAAAAAAGACAATCACCCTTAACATATACACGTTTACAACGCACTTTGAGCAAAAGGTTGGTTACAGTTTCAGACCTGGGAAGAGATAAGGTCAAATTGGGTCTCCCTCGTGCTGCCAAAACAGCTTTGGTCCATCAAGGCATTGACTCCACAAGACCTCTGGACGTGTCTTGTAGCATCTGGCACCAAGACATAAGCAGTTGATCCTTTAAGTCCTGCAAGTTGTGAGATTGGGCCTCCATGGATCAAATGTGTTGTTCACGCACATCCCACAGATGGTCAATCAATTTGAGATCTGGAGAATTTGGAGGCCAAGGAAGCACCATTAGCTCTTTGTCATGTTCCTCAAACAGTTCCTGAACATTTTTTGCTGTGTGGCAGGGTGCATTATTCTGCTGAAAGAGGTCACTGCCATCATGGAACACCATTGTTATGTAGGGGTGTGTTGTGGCCGTGACGTAAATATGATTATTAATCTTTTAATTAATATATTATAATTAAGCAAAAAGTGACAACATTAATATTTTTTATAGTTTGTGTTATCATGGTCGAATATGTGGATAGAACATACACAAAACTTTGTTATATTAAATGTATATTTTATATAATTCTAATAATAAGTAACAGATGCTAGCAGAAGTCAATGTACTACAATATTTATACAATACAATACTACAAACATAGATGTAAACATGAACAAACTTACATAGGCTATAGCACATGCTAGATGTTACAATGGATCCCTTATTACTTACAAGGCCCCAGCCCTTTGGAAGGGGTTAAATCAGAGCTGGTGCTACATCTTAGGTTCAGTCAGGTTAAGCAAAGAGAGACTGAATCCTTCCTACATCTGGTTTTATTCCCACTGTATTCCTAAGTAGTCTGGCCTGTGATGTCACTCCCAGAAGCACATGGCTTAAGGATTCCTACACACTGCACCCAGTGGTGCCTCTAAAGCATTAAACTCATTATGCTTTATTTTATGATGGAAATAATTATATTAAAATCGTTACAGAGTGTATGTGGTGTCTGTAACAATCTCTGCCGGCCTGCCTTCTTTCCAAAGTGCATCCTACTTCCATCCCTTCCCCAGGTAAACGATGCACATGCACCCAGCCTGTCACCTGATCTAAAAGAAAACATGATTGTTACGACACTCACCGCCAGATAGATGAAGCCGCCGTTTAGTGAATAATCCTCCTCTCCAGAAATGCAGTTTATATCCAGCCGACCGCCAAACTCCCGAACGAAGTTCACGAACACGGCAACTCCCGATCAGCAAAACAGTCGAACGCCTTCCACAGCTAAAAATAACGAAAACGCTGTCCCAGTAATAATTCCCCCCACAAACGAGACCAAGCTCCGTCTTGAGGGTCAAATAAGGATCTGTTTAATGGGGGCTACCTGCCCGGTATTTATGCAGGTCTCCACAAGGTGGACACTCCCCGAGGGGACCTTGTGGAAGACTGTAAAATATATTGTACAGTAGCCAATCGCAGTGGCTTTAATATAAGCCCTTCCCATCTTACCCATAAATCCGTCTTCTCTACCCCAGAGATAATTAGGAAGAAACCCAATTATCTCCCAGGGTAGAGACAATCGCCATTTTAAAATACAGTAACAAAAATACATTAAAATACATAACTGGGAAAATACCGAATGGATATAGTTCGTATAACGTATCCCCAGACAGCCTGGATCTGAGTGCATATTTTCACCGAATAACGCTCAGATCCGATGTATCTAGTCGAATTGCCATGGAGTCAAAGTCTTTCACCAGTCCTTCGGTATACGAATGACTCCATGGGACGGCTATCTGGGTAAAAGTCCATACGAATGCATAAAAAGACCGGCGTTCGCATGCCTCGTCGAAATAGAAGGTGGGCATCAGCTTCCAGCGGTGTTCGGTAGATTAAAGTGTCCGTTTTTAGTTCCATACAATTTGTACCGAACACCGCTACGCTTCCTTGTGTCCCAAAATGGCCGCTGCCTCGTGGTCGACATGCGAACGACGACCACCCGTACGAATGGAATGGAGAGGTGTCTGCGGTTAACCACAACGTTCTAATTGGGGCCAAGAGGTTAACCAGCAGCACACTCCTCTCCTGGGTGGTCGTTCGTTCGGTAGTTTCAATCGGTAGTTTGTAATTACACGAACAGGGGTATACGAATAGGAAATCCAGCGAAACAAAGGGAAACAGACGAACCAGCAATACAGATGAATCTGTCACAATGATTCATCAGACCAGGCAACCTACTTCCATTGCATGATCTTCCAGTTCTGATGCTACATTCCATGACCCTGATTGATTCACAGTTTGTCCTTCCTTACACCACTTTGGTGTAACACCCCACAAGACTTCCCATTCTGGAGATGCTCTGATCCAATATTTGGCTCTAGTCAAAGTCACTCAGATCTTTTCACTTGTCCATTTATCCAGCTTTCAACACATGAAATTCAAGCACTGATTGTTCATTTGCTGCCTAATATATCCCACACATTGACTGGTGCCATTGTAACAATATAATCAATGTTATTCATTTCACCTGGCCATGGTTTTAATATTGCGGCTGGTCAGTGTTTTTGGTGGCCATAATGTTATGATTTACCTCCTTTTCACTTCAATTAGTTTCTTTTGAAACCATACATACGATTCTTGGCATTGTGAATACAGGATGTATTTCATATCCACTGAAAAATAAAGTGTCCTTCTTATCTCACATGGATGGACATGTCTCACATTTTTTAGCACATACTCCTCTGCTACATTAATTGTTTTTCTTGTTTGATTGCAGTTTTATTCTCAGCAATGTGAAACCGTCACAATGTTTTATGGAGAAAATGAATACTCTGCGTTTTTTTGCGTGTGAAACTCCTGTCATTTTCCAAGACAGTATCTAGCAAATTAGACATCTTGAATCATTGTTTAAGTGAAAATGCATTCAGTTTACTCTTTAATTGTCCAGACAGATGTATATCCACTACATTGAAATGCTGAATGAATATTCTCAGGATTGAAAATGACGGGTGATCTTTTTGCAGTAACAAATGATGTACACAGACTGCAATCCAAAACGTTCAAAAGAAACAGACTCAATAAACAGGAACCTTAATGTTCGACAAGACATCCCACTCGGAAATTTGGTGCAAGCTTTTTTTTCTGAAGAAAATTACACAGCTATATATCCATTGAAGTCTCAAAAGAGCTGAATTACAGCCATTCATATTTTGTATCTGAAATACTTATGTAGTAATGATGAAAACAATCACTTCATTCAGGATCCTTGATATCATCTTTTCAGTGGTGTATTTGTCTATAGAGAGCAATAAAATCTAAGCCAGGTTCTATCTGCTTAACAAATTTCTTTCTCCTGTATCTCGTAAAATCCACTATCGCCAGCTCATTGGCACTGTACTTCCAACTGTCACATTCAAACCAGTATTGTCAGTTCTTTCACCTGCGTTAAGCATCAAGGTAAATTATGCGATAAAGTTCTACAAGTGAGGAATAATAAATATGGAATTTGATGAATATATAAATCAATAAACAGATAAGATAGAAGCTTAATTTTTAGAAGCCAATTCTAGCTCTCTACATCACGCGTATTTGTATCAATTTGATTGACTTCTTAGGTTAACTGCAAAGGATTTTTCACTTGTACTTTCACTTTAATCTTCTTTTTTTCCCCTCAAGCTCCTATAAATTTGACATCTAGCACCCTTCATGATTTTACAGATAATAAGCCAGGTCTTTAACACATTCTTTGTTGCTTGTTTTGCGGTAACGTGGATATTAAAGGCATGTTTTTGTATGTCTCAATTTATTCGGAATGATGATGAACATGCCAGTCTGCTATAGTATTCTACTCACAGCAGAAGGACAAATGATGTGATTAACTGCTTAGACAGCAGAATCATACATGGTCAATATTATTATTAGCCGTATTTATATATTTCCAGCATTTTCCATGGTGTTTTACAATTAGAGACATGGGTGAGGAAGGCTCTACTCAATAGAGCTCAAGGACTAAGATAGGTGGATAAATGTTATTAGGTGTCTTAGCTAAGAACACTTACAGGTGAGGTGGTGACTGAGTTTTGACTACCTGGTCTCTAATTCAGTGATGGTATGTGTAGAAATTGCATTGTTTAATATGATTTCAGAAGCATTCCTGACTCAAAGATGGCTCTAATAGTCGTGGGATTCGAGTGTATTATTTCATTAAATGTATTTTATTTAACCTTTTCCATTGGTAGCTACTGTACGTCTAGGTACATAAAGAATGGGAGAACTTCTCCAAAAAACAGCTTATAGCTCGTCCACCAGATCACCAAGCAGTTAATCTTATCATTTAAACCTGATTTTAGATACTTAAATAGATGGGTGACATGAGTGAATTAACTCCAAAAATAAACTAAAATACAGGAATTATCTGTGTGTAAACAGATGTCTTTATTGTAAACAGGGTGTAGTGCTCATCACAAAGTGGATAAACGTTTGCCATTTTCTGTAGAAAGAGGGATGCACAATCACTGTGGAGACTATATGAAAAATATGATGGAGGTCTCTTGAGCTTCCTGGTCTGATCTTTTAATATAAATGTAACGGGTCCATATACTCCGGCTGAGTATATCCGTTAGTAGTCTCCGGAATCCCAAGTGCTACAGTGATTAAAGCTCTCCAGTTTCCAAGCAGAGTAGCGATTAGAGCTCTTCAATCCCCCAAACATGAACCTAGACTTCATGAAGGGGTAAAACTAATGTGTTTAATGGGAGCCACACATGGCCTTTTATGTAACTCCCCATGCAAGGGATAAACATAAACATATACCAGGGGCATTCTGAGAGGAGACTAGCCAGAAGCAAACATTTCACACACTCCTCACCTGTGCCTGAGAGATAATTACCTGAGCACACATACATATAATTCAATTATCTCACAGGTACAAAAACATACAATATAACAAAACTCCATAAATACCCCCAAAACACATATAAAAACCCCACAAAATTCACATCTCCTGAAAACCTTGTTCTGGCTGACCAACATATCCAAAAATCATCCAGATCGGTTCAGGGGTTCGGGATTTTCATGGAAGTCAAATTTTTGACCAACCTTGCACATGGTCCTATGCTCAAAACAATTCCATGAAATCAGGGCTAACGGTCGGTCTAGTTTGGTAGTTTTTAATACCAAATGGGAGGCAAGTAAAACACAAAGTTTATCAGAGGTTCCTGGACTGGGGATGAGCATAGCACAAGGAAGGAAAACTAGGGATTTTGTCACAATAAATATGCAATTTCTCACAACATATAAATTATTAAAATTATAGAAATGTGTAAAAGCACATTATATATTTTAGTCTTTTCGATGATATTTGCTCATCTGCTTGTTGAAATGTCATTGTTTTAAAAGCTGTGCAGAGAAGATAGCCAACTTCTTCCAAATATGATTAGTTTCTCATCTATTTAATCTATTTATCATCATGAATGGGGGGTATATTACTCCTGCTATTCTCCCTACCTGATTATCTGAGGAAGTTTTAAACCCCCTACTTCATATAGCCATGGTGGCGGGTGAATGTAAAACATTGGGGACCAATGAGTAAGACTGGGTGTACACTTGCTGCTAACCAGCTAGCTAGGTGGGGTACTATAATCACATTCCACAGGAGTTGCAAACAGAGTAAATACACTTTTAAAATGGAAATACCTTTCACACAGCAACCTGTACACCCCACTTAGCTCTCCCTAAGGGACACGTTATGTTTAAAACATGCTTTGCTTTATCAAAGACTGAGAAAAGGGAGCTGTGAAGTATTACTTGTCTGGTTTGGTAAAATGAAATAACCATTTCTGATTGTAAGGAGGAGGAAATAGTGCTTGTTCATGTAGCAAACACAGATTGTACTGCTCTGCACTTTCTATAGATTCACATTGCTATTTTTATAACTGATGCACTTTATTTGTAGCCAGGCTTCTCCCAGTCAAAAAACGTTTGAAAATCCACCATGTTACCCCTCGTTGAATGATATTATTTATCTTATAAACAGAAGGTTTCTTTTATGCATTTGTCATGTTCAATTTATGCTATAAATAGTGAATACTGTGTCAACAAGAAGATGACATACATATAGTCATTAAAAGATTAGTGTGCTATAGTTTTCTTAGTCTTGTGTAATCCATATTTAATGCTAACCCTTGATGCATTATTAAGCTCAAAGAATGTATATTGCTAGTGCTTGAAGATTACATGGGAGACAGCAAAGTGCCAGTTTCCTGATTATTGCACAAAGGAGAGATTGGGGGCACACCCGTATACATGAAAGGTGCTGCCGCAGTGACCAAAATTCATACAGAAAAACTAGTTACGGCGCACTCAGACTTGTAAATTAATAACTAAGAAGGCTAACACCTATCTAAGAATAAATATGGGGATTTAGTTCCACCATATGGCCATATGATGTTAAGCCTACTACTACTTCAAAGTAATTTTGGTCACTGCGGCAGCACCTTTCATGTATACGGGTGTGCCCCCAATCTCTCCTTTGTGCAATTATATTTGGAATCCAGACCAGATTCCTTTGGGGTTAAGCACCCCGCCCAGGCCCCCCAGCTTCAGAGACCTCTTTAGAGGTGGCCACAGGTGTGTATAAATAGGAGGAGTTTTATAGTCATGTCACTTTTATTATTTTCTTTATGCAGCACAGATATTATCTGCAAATGTGAGTATACTCATTCAAGCACCAACACTTTAATTGTTTAGTTGTTACACTGTTTTTAATTGCTTTTATCACTATTGTATACTCACTTTGCTCTTACAAAGAAATGAATTGAATACACTGTAGCTTATGTTTAGCACTAGTACTATTTAATTTATCTCCCACATTTTTGTTATTAGCGTAGGACCCACTGATATTGGGGTACTTTGAAGTAGTAGTGGGCTTAACATCATATGGCCATATGGTGGAACTAAATCCCCATATTTATTCTTAGATAGGCGTTAGCCTTCTTAGTTATTTATTTACAAGTCTGAGTGCGCCGTAACTAGTTTCCTGATTATGACATAACCTCCAATTTAAATATAGAATATTCGACTTCCATGATGCTATTCTGAGAAGTGATGAAGGAAAGGATTCTGGGAAGAGATTGTATTGTGACATACGCTCTAGAGTGTAAATACGTGTGTTTATGAACTGCTAATTAAATAACTTTACAATTTCAGGAGCCACACTTTCCACACTCTCTGTACAGATATTGACACAGTGTCTGATAAGACCTTCTTAGCATTACTTTCTACGATTTTATCATCTATTCTCTGTGTAGCGACATGTCTATAGGTGTCTGTGCATGTTATGTAACTACCCAATGTTTAAAGTGAATGTGTCACTAAAATGTCATTGCTGAGTGTTTCATAAAGATACAATCTTCATGAAGTTTTTCACTACTCTGGCTGCCTGTGTTATAGACTTGAAGATTTATTTTATTATGGAATCGTTTTCGTCTGAGTTTCAGCTGATCGGGTGATCGTTCGAGTTCCCAAACTCAGAGCCAAAATGTAGCTGAACCAAACCAAACGGACAATGGACAAAGTTCATTTTGATTTGGGATTCTCAATTATGTTGTATTGTGATGCCAAAAAAAAAAAAGATGAATGATGGGATAAAAGATGATTGATAGCTAGAGGAAAGCCACAAAATGCTAATTGTATTCAGAATTCAAGTGAGAGGTATAATGGAGGGAAAAATGGAGGATGAATACAAAATAAATCTATCTATCATCTGTCTGTCTCTTTTTATATGCATATCATTTATTTCACAAATACAAAATATATATTTTTTACTGTTCCTCCTCTTTTTTCCTCTTTTAGTTACTTTTTCTCACTTGATCTGTGAATCAAATGGCGGCAAAATATATTTGTATTTAATCATATAAGGTGGGAGTGAAGCAGAGCTGGAGGAGAGAGTAGAGTGCTGCCCTTTATGAGAGAGCAAGAGACAGGTATGTGAGATAGAGGTTAGTCTGGGAGGCCATAAGCTTTCCTAAAGAGATGGGTTTTAAGGCACTTCTTAAACGATTGAAGACTAGG